TGATTTTCTTTTATGAATTTTTGGACATAAGAATTTTTAACCGACTTCACAAAGAAAGTTTTTTTTTTGTATATATTTTAGGCGATAACTTTGTGCACCGATTTTGATGATTCTTTTTTTGTTGGAAAGAGGCTACCTCATATAGTACTTGGTGTAACGGGCTGGTGTCCGCAAATCGACGTCAAGGCGCCTATTTTGCGTGTAGACCTCATATAGTAGTCCCATTTAAATTTGTAGAAAATATTCCACTTCTAAGGGTGGTTAACTAGTGGATGAATCCGGTTTTGCGCACTTTTCGGTAATCGATTTCAATTAAGCTTGGCAAATATATGTAATTCCACGAACTTTTGAGGTCGGTTTTTTTTAATATTCTGTACTGCGATTATGTATGTTTACTATATGTTCCTTTCTCGAATCGTTGTTAGGTCTCGGACTTATAATAAGTAACGTAATCAAAATTTTAGCGAAATTGAGTTATTAACATTTTTGTAATCACCGAAACCAGAACTACAACCTCTATAAGCGGATTTTTTATATCTTATTTGTTTTCGCAAAGTCAACGTAGTATCGTAGTTTAAAAGAAAAAATATCCATACACGTTAGAGTGCATGTATTCGACACGTATTTAATCGCGCTCACTCCGCGCGGCCGCCGCGCTGTCGATGAGCAGAGTCCGCGTTGCTGCCGCGCACCGACCACGTGCGTCTAACTGTCATGGCAAAATACGCTCTATTTATTTAGGTTTTACGTTTAACCTTAAAGGCTTAAGTACATTAAGGCGTGGTAACTGACCGGTCGCCGTGCGGCGGCCGCGCGGAAACTTTCCCCTCATGTAACTGGGCGCTTACGGTCTGTCAGAGAGGTCTCCCTGTGCAAATGTACCGAGCAGGTAAACCGGAACGAGCGTTGGTACACACATGTTCAGTTTAATGTACCTGCGCAAGTAAACCGGAACATGTACTGGAACACACCTGTGCAGTTTAGTGTACTTGCACAGGTAGACCACTCCGATAGACGGTAACGTGTATGGCCAGCATTAGGTGCCAATATCCCGAAAGTTACCAAAATTCAATTCGTAAGTTATTACAAGAGCAGTATGTAAAAATGAATTTGATCATCAAGTTTTCAGTATTTCTTTAACAAAAAAGTATACTTGATGTAAACACATTTATTTTTACCGCATTCACATTTGTGCCGTTGTACGATGACGCAACGACCAAGGCTGTCTGCAGTTTGAGACATTTTTTTAGCAAAATGCTCCAACAAAGAGCTTCCTAATTTGATATGTCACCTTTTTAGTAACACAAAAGACGTTAATCTTAAATCTTAACAGTTTTAATTTAGGGTTTGAGTTAGATAAAACAAAATTAAACAGTACTCCGTTTCAGCTTGAGACCTACTTTTCATGTGACATTGAAATACGTATATAACAAATCTACACAACGCCTTATGTATATTTGTATGTATGTCATCCGTGACCACGGGAAATCCTTCTAGGATACCTCTTCGTCGCGGGGACAGCGGACTTCTACCGGCTAAAACCCCACGGCGGCCTTCTCGAGTACTGTAGTGGGAGGAATCCGGGATCGACCTTGCGCACCGGAACCCTCTCAACACCTGAGAGGAGCTACGTCCTTCCTCTCCCTCACCTCACGACGAAGCGGGCCATACCGCCCCGTCTCGTCCTCTCGCGGCTGCCAAACTTACTGGCGAACGGAGCCCCCGCTCCGATACTCAGCGACCTCCTTCTGGAACATCACCGCTTCACAGAAGAAAACTACTGCTTCATGGGACTCTTGACCCGCCAGCATAACCTGATAGCTGTACAAATTCAAGCAACTTATTTACTAATTCGTAATTTCAAAAACATTCCACCTTTTGTTCAATAATAATGTTTTGTAGCAGCAGAGCTCCTTGTGAAAGATTTCATCCAGGGAAGTACTGCCACCTTCCCTAATACTGCCGCGAAGCAGTAATGTCACTATTACTGTGATCCGGTTTTCAAGGGTAAGGGTTCTGGTGAAATTACAGGCACATGGGACTTGTCAACTTGTGACTCAGAGTGACGGGCGCAGTAGCAGTGCTGTTATGGATAGACATGTGGCTTACCATCAGGCGCACGAAAGAAAAGAAAGAAGAAAAATGAAAAACATCAAATAGATTTTTTTTTTATAATATCAAACGACGAGACTATCACCTACCTAATTTTGATTTTCTTATCTTGTTCTTATCTTATCTTCTTCTTATCTTATCTTCTTATCTTATTCTTATTCTTATCGGAACGATGACATACATAGTAGTGCTTGCCATGGTGGTGACAGAATTTGTAAATCAGCGTAAGGTACTCACCAATTGTTGCCCAGGGTGCGCTCTACGTACAAGAAAGGAATGGGATGTCGTGCGTGGAAGCTTTTTCCTGCATTTCAATTTTGAGTAGGTGCTCTTTGTGGTTATTTGTTCACATATTACACTGAAAACGAAATTAAAAAGGTAATCTTATGCAAGTTTGCACGTGTATTTCCGTCGAATCATAATCAAGTAGACTCACACGGAATTGCGTAAACGTAACGGCCAATGGATTACTCACATTTATCTCTCCAGACTATTTAACGGAAACATTGTGACAAATATGACCTTGTGCCAATGACCTTAAAATGATTGTGATATTAATTATTTGGAAAGTTTGCAGCTAAATTTATAATATGTTATTCTAAGAAGTGCATAGGTTATTCTTGATATAGAAGATCGGACCGGATTCTATTAGTCAGACATCAAGGTTATTACAAATATATCTGCCGTTTGTTACCCAAACACTACAAGTTATATAATTTTACTACGCGTAAAATTACTATGGGTAATGATAGGATGTCTTCTATTTGTTCTAGATTTTCACGGACTGTAAATTTATTGTAGATGTTTGCGGCCTTTAATGTTTTTTTTTATAATACTAAGTGACGGGACTAACAAGTCGTGGGCCTGGTGGTAAGCGACGCACCTGTTCATAACAGTTGCATTCATCGCAGTTGCTTTAAACCACAAAGACCGGAGGGGTACTACCACTGCGCCCTTCACCCTGAGACATAAGCTAATAAGTGCCTGTAATTGCACCAGCACTCCTACCCTTCAAAACCGGGACGCAGTAATGCTCACATTACCGCTTGATGGCAGAAATAGATAAGTTGGCAGTGGGTCCTTGGATTAATTTTTTTCACAAGGAACTCTGCTGGTCACAGCACATCTCTCCTCCCACAATGAGGGGGCTGTAGTTCCCATGCGGGCGGATTAGAAACTTCACACACATAATGAAATTGCTTTGAAGATATGTGCAAGTTTGCTTGCGATGTTTACCTTCACCGAAAAGCTGATGGTAAATTTCAAATTAAAACTTCAACATAATTTCCGAAAAACGCAGCGGCGCAATCACTGATTCGAAGCCATGACCATCTCCTTGTGAAGCGATAGGTCCACGATTGCCGTAAGTAAGAAATGATATTTAAGACCTATCCGGAAAGTATGACGAAGATGACCCTGGTCCAATTTCTTGTTGGACGCAGTTAAGACGCCTCAGATGGTCATTTAATATGACCTTAGTTACAATGTGGGAGAAATGTTAAGCGTCATCTAGATCCGTAACTTGTTCATTATATCGCATGGTGCAAGTTAAGCGATGACAAGAATAAATAGCTACTACTTTAAGCATATATTTATTTGTAGAGCTAGAAAGAGTTTGGACAACGTGCTGAGTAACCGTAATCAGGATGTTGACATAGTCAACCGTAATGTGAATGCACTAAAGCGTAACCTCACAGATATTTTATTTAATTTTATTGAATAATTCATAGCTCTAGTCACGCAGGTATTGGTTTGTATTCTTTGTTTGTTGTTTGATGTAATTTAGAGATTATGTTTTTTTTCTGAAACTATAGGCGGAATTCTGTACTTGGCTGTTTTTAGTTATTATTCCGATATAATTTTTAATGACAAAATAAACAATGAAATTGGTTTTATTAGTGTCACTAGTGCAAGTATACATATTTCTTTGTCCCTTATATTAGAAAGAAATAGTTGATAATTGGAATTCAAGAATAGGGTTGGTTTTTTTATTAATGAAAGTCGGCCTGATTCACGGCCTCAGTTACAAAGTTTGTCAAGTCATTGGTTGTGACTCGGGGTTAGTACAAATATGTATGATCCACAATATAGTATGATGACCCGTAAAAGGGCAATATCTCAATTGTAATGGAATTTCAGATGAAAATACTGACAATATCTATATGACAAGCAATCCAAGTATGTAGGGTTTTTATAATTTATGCGTTATATGTTGTGATGTACTGTACATTTTTATTTGATGTTATTGTTCTAATATATTTTTGTTTGTCAATTTTTAGTATACGATATACATAACTAGAATAGTTTCGTACTCAATAGTCCTTTGTATCAGAGTCAGACATTTAGCACGTTCGTTTTATTATTAATTCAATTTGCCTTATTTTTTCAAATAAAGCATAATGCATATTAATTTATGCTTACAAAACTATACACAACACATTTGACTAAATCAATCGACTTTTTTTAACTCTTTATTTATTTTTTAACATGTCAGCCTATTAGAAAAAATTCACCAAGAAAACACATCACAAAATTCAAACAGATAAATCAAAATACTACCTAACCAAACATGTATACAAAGTCTTCGCGATATTACATGTTGGCTCCGACAAAACGGATTGAAACCACTCAACATGCATTGAAAGAGTTTGGTTTACATTCATAGAGACTCATGATTTGTCTCAAAAGTTGTGCTTAGTAATAAAATTAAAAATAAATGCCTTGAAATTTGGAAACACTCTAGGAAGTAGACGTATCTTTCTTCTGATATTTAATTTCGAATGCTCCAAGTACTTCCGCTTCATCGCCCAACTTGCATCCGATTCTCAACACCGATAGCAAGGTGATTAGTATTTCGGGCGTCCATGGTGGGAGTCGCGAGCGCAGTCTCTCACCGCCAGCCCTCCGTGCGCCCGCGCCGTCGCTGCGCGTGACCATTCACGCGCGAAATTCAAACTCCCATCATTCATAATACCGAACCCAAGTTTTGTGTTTTTGATATTATCTATGACAACCATACAAGTGAATTTTATAGTGTTCTGTGCCAATATAGTGACGTTTGCAAAAAGCTTCAGTTTCTGAACGGATAACCGTTCAGGTGACACTTTCACTTCAAGAGTTTTTGCAATCGGTAAGTGTGGTTTTAGCTTTATTTTTAACCGCGTAATTCTCGTTACACAATTAGTTTTTGTAAGGAATCTGTGGTGAAATTTTCAGTTAACTTTTTTATGTGACTGAAATCAAGTTGAAACGGTTTTGTTTCAGACCATTTATTTAGGCAATTAATGATGAAATACAAAAGACAATTAAACGCATGGGTGCAGAATAATAGCTTTATTAGAATGCCATTTTAATGTGATTTTAATGAAATTTTTTTTTTAATGCTTATATAATAGTCTATTTGAGGTCTTAAATACATTAACGTCCCATCTCTAATATTGGAACACTTGTAAAGGCAAAAACTATGATGTATTTTAGCAGCCCGTCACTCAGTCACGGCAGAATAGTTGTGAATGAAATTTGCCAGGCATCTATCTAGTCTTTAATCGAAATTAGTACTTGTAGTAGCTATTAAACGGAACATAAACGACGTCACGAGAAAACGTTAGTAATAATAATGCACACATTCATAGACCGCACACATAGACCACCACAAATTACACCAACACCACGAGATAAATAAATATAGGCCATACAATTATTTCTCCCGGACCGGGAATTGAATCCGGGACCTATGCGTGACAGTCCAGCAAGGCAACCGTTCAGCCACAGAGGCAGCAATTAGTTTTAATTGTTGTGTTATGAAAAAAGAAAAAGTGCGTTCTGTCTCGTTGAAGTCTTTTGTATGCAACGGGCAAAATGGAGATACTACGCATGCGTCGATCGCTTCGCGTTTCTTTCTAGAAATCACAGCAGTATTGTGCTAGCGTTCGTGGAATGCGTCCATACTTTGATGCAACTTTATTTGAATCATACGAGATCTAGAGATGGTAATCTCGATTATGGTCTAGTTTATTTTATAACTTGTTTTAATGCTACAGGGGCTGTAGTGGACTTCTCTTTTGAGTTATTTTAAAATAGTTTTTTCATTTGTTTAATTTCATAGTCATTCCTAAATAAATATATTTCTGCGTCCGAGTCCTAAAAATAATAAATACGAAATAAATTATTTACCATTCGACAAAATCTATGGACTTGTGTCGATCCTGAAAAATTTCTTCGTCATCATTATCATCTATATAATAAATATCCCACTACTGAGCACGGGTTCTCTTCTGAGTTTCCGTAGTTAGTAAAAAATTGTATGTGAATTTACATAGAATAAAGAATAATAATACTTTAATGGTATTTTTATCCGACTTCAAAAAAGAAGGAGGTTCGATTTTACTTTTTTTATTTTTGTATGTACGTTACGCAATTATTTCGACATTTGTGAAACAATTTTGAAGATTCATTTTTATTGAAAGGAGGAGAGGGTACCTCAGTATTGGTCCCATTTAAATTTGAAGACAATATTCCACCTCTAAGGGTGGCAAACAGGAGTATGAATCCGGTAACCGATTTCAATAAAACTTGGCAAATAGATTTAATTATAAAAAAATCCCAAAAATTTTTGGGACGATTTTTTTATATTTAAAAGTTTTAATTTAATTAAAAATTATTGTTAAATCATGAACATGACAAGGTTTTTTATTCAGACTGATAGAGTGTGATTCTGTATAAAACTCATAAGTTTAAAGGTTGTAAATTTATTTGAAGCGGCTCAGTTGTTGAAAAGGGGCAGTGGGTTTTTGTCTGAGATATTCACCCATAAAACCAATAAATGCGAGCGGCGAGCAAAGAACACTAATAGAGTAGACATCGTTGGGGACGAATGAGATTGCGGTAGCATATAAAAACAATTAGCACAAGCGTTTTTAATCCAAATTTTTTCAATTCGTCTCAATAACGGATTTGTATACTTTTTTTATTTATTTATGCCTACATTAATTTATTCTCAATGTAATATTTTTATTTTTATTGATGATGTTTTCACAGCCACGTTGAGTCCAGAATTTAATTAAAAAATAGTAAAAGGACTTTATTCTTCAACGTAAAACATACATTTAAAATCGACGCTAGAAAGGTAAACCATCTAATTCATCTGGAAAATATATGCAGTAGAGCGACTTAAAGTAATTTTTTAAGAAAAAAAAAAATTTTTATTTGTTATATGAAAAAGCTGAAACTTTAAATCGATCATCTGTAATATTTTCCAAATGCACGTTATAGACATTTATCTTTCCATCGTCGAAATAATTGCCTTCGGACCAGTTATGCCATTAATTATATAACTGGTATTAACCTGTCCCATTTATATCTGTAATGGTATAGGTGGCACTAGTTTATCCCAGTTATACCATTATTATTTATAATCCAAAGGTATAAATGGGATATACTAGTCCTACCTATACCATTACAGGTATAAATGGGACAGATTAGTACCATTTATACCGTTAATGGCATAATTCAATGTATAACTGGTCCGAAAGCGAAATAATTGCTTAAATCTTTGTTGAAGCAAGGGTAAAGCCTCATCAACTTGTTGCTTTTCAGGCTTCACCTGGCAAGCATTCTAGAGACACCGTAGCATATAAAAACATATATCTTTACGATTAAATATTACATAAACAACCTACCTTACTCACTCTACAGAACGTTTCCAACTGAACAATTATTAAATCAAAAGCCTTAAATGTAATGAAATTTCTCTTTGTGTTTGTTCGGTTTTGTATCAAATATAATAAAAATACTTTACATGATTCCCTGGTCTTAAACATTGTTAAATATTAACTTAATATATATATTTTATATATCTTAACCAATGTTATTCAAGCTCATGTTATGTTCATCACGAAGGCTCCCAAAATAGTTGTATTACGAAACGACCAATATTATATGGCTTATGTCATCAATGGCGGATAAAGTCCCTTGTTTACGGTAAATCTTCTTTAATTTGTTTCTTATGCTGATTGTTGCTTGCTTTTGGGAGTGTAAATTAATTAAAAACGAACAAGGCTTTATGCGGCTGATCATCATTAACTCATTTATACGTCCCACTGCTGGACACGGGTGTCCTTTCAGGTTAAGGTTTCGGACACAGTTTCCCAAAAGTGGCTCCAGTGGGTCCTAAAAATCTTAAGTTTTTTTTTATAATATCAACTGACGTGAAGAACAAGTCGTGCGCCTGATGGTAAGCGACACGCAGTCTATAACAGTTGCAGTGTAACTCAGCTCTTTAAATCGCAAAAATCTGAGGCGCACTGCCACTGCGCCCGTCTCCGTGAGACATAGTTGACAAGACCCATGTGTCTGTAATAATACCAGCACCCTTACCCTTCAAAACCGGAACACAGTAATGCTGTTACTGCTTGGCGGTAGAAATAGATAAGGTGGCAGTGTTTCCGTGGATGAACTCTTTCACAAGGAGCTCTACTGCTACTAAAAGTGGGGCGGGGGAGGCTCGGATACTTGGGGGCGTTGTTACTGTCCAGGGGGTGCCACCGCATTTGAAAAAAAACCTGAATTGTTTGTAGGTATAAACTACACTACAAATATGTAATTTTTTTCCTTGTGATTTTTGTGTGTTGAAATTTTTTTATCTTGCCTAACTAAACGATGAGCCAAAAAGTTTAGGAACTTGTAGTTTAGGCCACAGTCCGCTACGCTGGCCGTGGGGACTTCTCTCGATTTCCATGGAGACCGTGAACCTACAGTTTGTGTTTTTATCTTAACTTTGCACAATTAGTTACATTGGTGCATGTGTGTACATGTACAATTCTCTAAAATTATATAAAAAAAAGTTTGTATATTGTCGTAAATGCTTTCATCGATCGATGTGTATTTGGAGTATATGCCTGCCTGTATATGCATACCTTCATAATTATACTAGGTACTATATGTGCTCCTGATTTAGTGTTGGCATTATTTGTGAGTGGTGACACCAATAAATTAGGAGCGCAGTATTATTTACTAAAATCGGCAAACCGTTGACGTAATTTGTGGCTAACGGTGTTGGTTACTCATTAAGTCACTATTTGTTAGTTATAGCTATGTACGATTTGTAATGTGTTACTGTTTGTTAACACCAATAAATAAAAAAAAACTTTAAATCCCGAAACGTAAACTTCGAGAAACTCAGAGGTTTCGGAATTCGAATTCCCGCCCGAATTCGAAATCAACGGCATTTGTTTGAGAGGCAACAGGTCAAAAACCACGGTTTTTTTTATACAACTATCATATACATATATGATATGTAGCATATCATTTACAGCATATAGCATATATGTATATGATAACTGTATGTTAGTTATGATAAGGAGATTTGACCTTCATCTCACCTGATCGAAAGTGACTAAGAGGTCGACAATGGTGCATGTACACCTAAATAATATCCATTGACTCTCGCCAACCTTTTTTTACTACCACTGGCCTACTACGCTACAAAGAATATGCATAATTCTTTTTCGTACCATGTACCATGCTGCAGCTCCATTATATCATTATGTGTAACAAGTCTCTTGCCAAAATGACACTACTCTGTAATGCAATAGCATGCATAATGGATTTTTAAATACACTTTCATGAAATGGTAACTAAATAAATTCACACAACATAAAGCGCATAAATGACAATAATAAAAAGCAATGAGCACTACCTAACAACATTTCATCACATTTCTCTCGAAATTAGCATAAAAAAGCACCAATTTTCTAGTCTCTATTTCAAGGACTCAACGTCGATTTTATAATGATATATCATTTCGGGAACAATTTTGTTACTGACAAAAGAAACCTAATGGTCCGTTTAACCGATTTGTTATGTTACTGTCCTATGATAGAGTTGTTTAACTTAGTTTGGTAATAGGTTATTCATACTCGTGTTATTGTTATTAAGTATTTCATATTTAAGAAATAACAGGATACTTGATATGTCATCCTAGCTCAGTTTTAATAATGTTTTGACGTTCTAAACTTATGACCATTACTTTTTAATTATATTGACTTAAAAAAAGAATTATAGTGTAACTACAAAACTACAAGAGTAAGAATTTTTTGCAATACTATAACCACACATTGAAAATATAGCTAT